ATTTACGTTACCCTTTCAAGTTTTTTTTATATTGTGTCTAGAAAACAATACACCAGAAGGTGACCACACACACACAAAAATGACCCAACGATGACAGAGACTGAGGAGACTTCATAATGACTTCATTCCAAATCATCGAAAGCTGAAAGGTGCTACCAATATACAAAATGAAATGGGAAATACATTGTTCAATATTATAGTGTAACCAAGGCTCTGCCTGTAGTTGAGTTATGTTATTTTTTTTTTCATTTCCAAATCAATTTAATCTTAAGAGTTCAAACTGTCATTTATAAATTATGTGTTGCCAAATTCAAATCAGTATGTGCAATTCTTTTTTTTCTTTTTAAAAATTCCATGGCCAACAAATGTTGTATTTGCCATATGCATAATAGTATGGATTTATACTAGACTTCTTTCTTAGTTCCTACCTCCATCAGATTAAAAAACGAGAGGAAGCACTTGTCAAAATCTAGGAAATATGAGTTAAGTTTTCAATACAATTCAAAATTTCTTTAAGAATGTAAATGGTTTTTTTGTGCGTGAAAATACCCAAAGAAAGGAGCTTTCTCTTTCAAAATACCACCTAGACCACAGCAAACCAAAAATTACCTGGTCCCAATTCCTGATACAAAATGTATGGATTTCTGGTCTAAACACCAACCGCTCAACAGCAGAACTGTCTTAAACAAAATTAATGACATAATGGACAGGGCAAAGTGTTCTCTAAATAGTTAGTTATATCAGCAGTAATGGTCGGAGTGTACTTTTGTTTAAACGCACCGGTAGATGTATTGTGTTCAAACACGATGGTGCATTTATTATGTTCAAACACGATGGTGCATGTATTACTTCTAAAGAACTTTCATTTCAGCAGGGCTTGTGATGTGAAAACATATAAAATATTACAATCAACTGCTGACAGTGTATTACAGTAGCGCATTTCAGTAGCGTTTATGTTTAAATTTGATTTCAACTTGCAGCCCACATGTGGTTATCATAATAATTACCATTTCTTGTTGTAGGGAATATGTTCACATTGGATTGAAATGAACATTAAAACTACGTGCAGATGCAAGGCTATTTGCTGCAACTGATCTCTACATTACCAACTTTGATGGAAAAATTACAAGTAAATGTTCTATTCTCAGCTCTAGGTTGATTCTATGTGCAGTAAACTCTAGAACTTTAGTAAGCCTAAGGGTTTTGCACTGAGCAATCAATGAATTGCACGATATACCAACAAAATGTCCAACACATGAATGAACCAACATTTCTGCTTACATTATGACCCCTTGGTAAAATCTCATTGAATTGATGATGTGACATAATACTGCTCTTAAAAATGACACTTAAATTCAACACACAGATATAGTTAATGGATGAAATAGAAAACATTCAACATTATGTTTCATAATTTCTAGTCCTAACATACAACATGTGTACTTCTAGTCCTAACATAAATTATTTTTCATTATTTCTAGTCCTAACATACAACATGTTTCTGTACTTCTAGTCCTAACATACAACATAATGTGTCAGTATTTCTAGTCCTAACATACAATACAATGCTTCAGTTTTTTTATACAATAAACCATTTTGTTCAAATGCCACTCCAAAATTGACTTATATTTGAATTATTATTTAGTCTAATCCACTATAACATATAAGCTACAGTCAGATATGAGATCTTATTCACTAAAGTATCATTCAATTATTTGCAACATTGATTCTAATTCTAGTTACAGTCCTCTTGAAATTAATCATGGAGTCAATACATCAATTATTCTAACAAATAATACATAACAAATTGTTGGTGATGGATACTCTCAATGCTTTGTAGTTACATTTGAATGACTACATTTTTTAAAATATTTACTAATAGTATTAGTAATACACAGGTCATGCTAAATAAAATATGTCTTTGTTGCCAAAGCTTGCTATGAAGTAGGAGATACATGGGTGAAAGGTACAATGGAGAAATAATGATACTCTATTCACACAGTACATATCATGGGTAAATGGTACATGGAGAAATAATGACGGTCTATTCATACATTACATATCAAGCGACTGGAAATATCACAGCTTTAATGTACTGGTCGAGGGAGGGAACAAGTTTATAAGTTCCATAACTCTTGAAATGAGATCACCAAATTATTCTCTTTATGGATTTTGCCTAAATGGAATGTGAACATTAGATCTCATGACTGGACATGCCCCTGAAAGAAGTTCGGTAGTAATCATACAAATTTAAATAATGGCTTTAAGTTAATGGATACTAAAGAGAATTTTGACTATCTGTAGACAATAGTGTGTCTATTGTCCCCGTTTTTTTTCAATTTCATCGAATATCGGCACACAAATCATCGATTAGCAACTGATGAATTCTTCCCATTCATCTTGTACAGATTGAGAGATTTTCCTCTAGAGCTCTTCATTAAAACTAATAAAATCTAATATTTTGGTTTAGATTAAAAGCTGGTGGACGAGTGCCACTTCAACAAAAGTAAACAGAACATGTTGTATGAAGATATGAGAATACGTTGAAATACAAGTAGATACAAATGAAACCATTTACCTATCATATCATTGGGTACAGTTCATTAAATGTTTGCCGGTTAGGTGTCTGCAAACGGTAGATACAAAAATTAGTGGAAAATCTTGAATACACAGTTCTATCGCTATAGTGTCCAACTATTTACAGTCAAACATAAAAACTTCAAGGCTGGTTGTTTTTTTTTTTTAACAAAATCAAAAACAAAACAGTTTTGGCACAAGAAGTATTTGCATTTTTTAAGCTTTACAGGAAATACACCCAGAAAATGTCCCGACACAAAAGTGACTCTGACGTCATGGTTATGCCATTCAACTTTCCATTTTTTTTTCAATAGTGAAACATCAGACCTCACTGTGCTGGTTCTGCTCAATAAGTTGATACGATATTGAGGTGCTACCTGGTGAATATATTTATAGTATTTTGTGTTTGCTACCTGTTGCATATCTTAACAATAAAATATTCTTCAACAGCCTTTGAGCTGATCAGTGATAACAATTTAAAAAATTAGCAAAAAGTCGATTTCACATCCTGAGGTCAGTGTTTACAAGAGTGAACATAGTGAAAAAAAATTTTTTGGCGAGTCCAGTACAAGGTGACGCCATACTAAGCAGCCATATGAAATACCGACACAAAAAAAAAAGCAATGCACCACACGAAGATATCCACACAGAAAATAAATATGAATATTAGTGATCTGTAGTCAAGGTTAGGACAAGTTCTAAAAACCTTCAGGTTTGTCTCCAAAGTTTTTCAGTGACCTCAAAAAGTACTGAAAATGAATTCTTTTTGTCATTCGTCAGCTTCCAGGAGACGATGGTGTCATCTAGCCGGTAACAAAAGAAAATGAAAAGCCTGGGCAAGGTTGTTATTTGGAGAATCAATTATTTCCTTTACAGCAGGTTTCCATGTAATTTATGTACTAAGGATAACTTTTACAAACAAAAATAAAAGCAGCTCAAATAATAGCTACTGTAGACAGAGAGGTTTGCTCACATGTCTGGTCAGTAGACATAAATGTCATTACTATTCACAGCACAACGAACACTGATTACACCAGTGGACTGTGAAGACATAACTGATTACACCAGTGGACCATGAAGACAGAACTGATTACACCAGTGGACTGTGAAGACAGAACTGATTACACCAGTGGACTGTGAAGACATTACACCAGTAGACCGTGAAGACAGAACTGATTACACCAGTGGACTGTGAAGACAGAACTGATTACACCAGGGGACTGTGAAGACAGAACTGATTATCATTTTTTTATAAAAACAGTCTTTTTTAATAAAAAATAATAATTTGTTGAATAATTTGAAGCTAAGATTGGTAGATGAAAGGGACGAATTATTCAATGTACATTTAATTATAGATCTACATCAGTTTTAGAGTATTAGTTAACATCCCGTGTTAACACAGACTGTCAAATTCATGCGCGTAAGACAGATTTAGAGGGTTACACAATTTGACAACTGTCACTCACTACATTTGGGAAAGTCTGCATTAGCCCTACCCAGCTGCTACTAAGACTAAAACAGGTACTGAATTCTAATAACAATTTGTAAAGTATGAGAACTAATCTGGTCTAGACAGAAAATGTCCCATTACAGCACTCAGCTTGAGAAATAGTTTTATTTTTAAACCCCAGCAAATTAAAACTAATTTAATATATAACATGATGAAGTCATTGTTTGAAAATAAATTGTACAGCAGTAAAACAGGCTGCACTCTTCATTGTTGGTGGTGTCTTGAATCCATTTTCACAACTAAGTTTGGAAATAATGTCCGAGATGAAAGTCATGGACATATTAGTTTACTGGGAGCGATGTGTCCAATAGCTGCCCCTTGTGTAGGCAAATGTAACAAAACATGACAAGCCATGTGCATGGCGTCTTTCTTGAACATACTTTAGTATAGGCTTAGACAACTGCTGTCCCCACTCGACAAATTTAGGATAGGCTTAGACAACTGCTGTCCTCATTAAACAAATTTAGGATAGGATTAGACAACTGCTGTCCTCACTGAACATACTTTAGTATAGGATTAGAAATCTGCTGTCCTCAATACTCATTAGTCCCATTTAGTCCGGATTAGACAACAGATGTGCTGCTCATATGACAACTCAATTATTTAAACAATAAGAAGCTATTTTAAACTGACCTGGGGTCAAGATACAGCTTTCCTTTCATCTTAACCAACAATGACACACTGAGACTATTGCCGATAATTACGTTGGTCAGGGCTGAAAGTTCAAGGAATCACAGATGGATTTTGGCCACCATTGGCTGGAGTGATACACCATTGGCTGGAGTCATACACCATTGGCTGGAGCCATACACCATTGGCTGGAGCCATACACCATTGGCTGGAGCCATACACCATTGGCTGGAGCCATACATCATTAGCTGGAGTCATACACCATTAAATAAAATCAGACACCATTAGCTGGAAAAAATTTCTTAGCTGACTCTGCAATATGATTGCTATAACTTTTTTTGGATTAAAATATTTCATACAGTGAAAAAAAAACATTAGATAGGAGAAAACAAATTTTTAAGTTTTCAATAAGTTTGGCGTTTGCAGAAAATACTATATCAATACAGCACAAGTAATAATGACACGATTGAGGTACTCAGGTTGACAATGACGAGATTCCAACATCAGAGAAAGAGGGGTGGAGGGGTGTGACAGAGGATGAGGGGGATGAGAGGGGGACAGCCACAACAAGAGGAGTAAACTGCTTAGTGTAAGTTATGCTGGCGGCGGTGTGTTCGCAATAACAACAGACAGGTTCACAACCAGCTTCATTCAAAGTGCATCAGATGTTAACAATAGAAGAAATTCACTACATGTTTCCTGCAGTTCTAAAAATAGCTGTGCTACACAAACATGGACAAAGTGGCTACAGTTATCCTGCACTTCTAAAACATGACTGTGCTACCCAAGGATAAAGAATGAAACACATGAGTAACAATTCAGCTGTAACGTTTCTAGTTTTCCTCACAACACATCCATGGCAGCTTGGTCTTGTAGCTGACCGATCCTGTTGAATCTACATCCAGGTCAGCTTGGTATTGTAGCTGACCGATCCTGTTGAATCCATCCAGACCGATCCTGTTGAATCTATCTAAAAATATTGTTGGCAGCTTCAAGACAAAGAAACAAAGACCAACAAAATTTTTCATTAGACAACAAACGTCACCTGTCCCAATCCAGCTACACAGACAGCTTGGTTAGGCATATGTTTACAAGTGACTCGTATTTTGATGACCTGTGGTAAATATTATAAAGACAAAATTGGCCTCACCATACAATTAACTTCAGTGCTAAAATAAGTACATAGAATTAGTTGACAGTCAAGGGAATCATACAAGTGAGTTTCCAAGTTCCAATAATAGTGATTTGGTTTAGAAATATTCCAGTGTTTGATTCATGACATTCTTTCATTTCATTTCTCAGTCTGCCTGAGAGGAAATGATCTTGTTGCCTGCCTGACACTGACCATGTATGTTAAGCTACACACTGGCACTGTTGACAGATATATCGAATGTTGACTCGGTCTGGTTCATGAGAGGTACCATTTCAGCATCCTGACCCTTGTTGTAGGGGGCAGGAGAAGACGTCGCCCCCTTGCCTGTGTCAGCAACTGGTTTGTGTATTAGCGGTTTGCTCTCACTCTCTGAAAATGATGAATTGGTTTGCAGCTCACTTGTATCCGACATGATGACAACACTGCTTAAAGCATCCTGAGGCACGTGGTCAACCCCTGGAGGCTTGCGGTCAGCCCCTGTCGGCACAGCAATGGAGAGATCCTTCTTCTTCAGCTCTGGCTCTGACTCACCTGCTTCTCTGTGGAAATACATTTTGTTGCTGCTCGAGGAGAAAGGCAAAGAAGAGAAGAGAGTCTTTTTCTTACTCTCTGGGGTGTGCCTAGATTTAGAATCACCATCCCCGGAGGATTTGCTGGCTCTAACATTCGGAAAGAGTGGCTTTCCTTCTGGACCTACTTCTCCATGATATTCAACACTGTTGTCTTTAGCATTCTGGGACGAATGGTGGTACAAGGCTCCTAGGCTGTGATGTAAAAACGTCAATCTGTCCAGAGAGGATGTTGATCTCTTTTTGGCCCCCTGGTGATCATTTTTCAATAATTCTAGAGCTGTGTTGCCCAGGACAAAATGACTCTCAAAGCCGCTGTTACGGTTGCTGTTGAGTTTGGTCACTTTTTCAAACTCTGCGTCAAATGCCTCGTTGACGGGAATGTTGCCAGAGTTGCGCAGCATCCTGGTGGTTCGAAGGGCGGCCAGGTAGAGTGCCCTGTTGATGCAAAGGTACTGCAAATCTGTAAGTGCCCTCAAGGAAAAGTCTGGCACATAATCCTTCACTTTAATATCATTGAGTATTGACTGTTTGCGTATCACTGGAAAGAAGTCAAATATTCAATTATTTTAACTGCAGTGAAATTATTTTAATGCAAACAACAATACACTTTATTAACATTGAGAACAATAAACATATTGTTTAAAAACTAGTTGTGAGATGGGCAAAACTTAAAGATGAGATTAGAGCAAAGACATACTATTGTGAGGAGGATTGCACTGATAAGCCTACAGCAGATGGGATGGTCATCAATGGGCAGATTGGACCATCAAATGGCAGATGGACCATCAAATGGCAGATTGGACCATCAAATGGCAGTTGGGATGGTCATCAATTGGCAGATTGGACCATCAAATGGCAGATGGACCATCAAATGGCAGATTGGACCATCAAATGGCCGTTGGGATGGTCATCAATTGGCAGATGGACCATCAAATGGCAGATGGCCCATCAAATGGCAGATGGCCCATCAAATGGCAGATGGGATGGCCCATCAATTGGCAGATGGCCCATCAAATGGCAGATGGCCCATCAATTGGCAGATGGCCCATCAATTGGCAGATGGCCCATCACTGGTTGAGATTATTGGCCACCGATTCATGATGATGTATTTAACTTTGAGATTGGAATGGCTTTAGTACTAGTCAATGTTAGATCATTGATTCAATGATTTCCTAATGAATCACTTGGATAGAACTAGTCGATTGGTTACTGGGAGTAAAGGTCACATTTTAGTAGGATTATAACCAGGTGAAGTCCTGGAAGCCAGCATTACTCTGCAGCCCAAACATTTGAAACTTGCACACAGACTGGGAAATGAGCCTCTGGTCACCACCTCGACCCACTTTAGCCCACTTACTTTGAATCAACCAGTGACTTGGCTAGAGATGTCATTGAGAAGCTTATTGCTTAAATCAGTGATTCCCAAACGTGTTTCATACTTGCTGACCTTACCCAATCCAGGTTTTCCCAAGTAGCCCTTTGTCATAACATAAGAAGTACACGGCAAAGTAGTGGATACATTTTTTTTAACAATTAAATGGTATGTAAAAATAAATATAACATGTACTTAGGATGGCAAAGTGCTTGATGTGACCATTTTTAGAGTCTTCTGCAAGCAGTTTTACTAAGAGAGCTACTGGTTTAAACTAGGTAAGCTAAATGTTACTGGTTTAGACTAGGTAAGCTAGATGTACAAAATTATCACATTGAATAGAAAATGGAAATAAGGTTGTGAAAATTGTGTAACATTTCATGGTGCTACAGTGCACACTTTGAGAACCACTGGCTTACACTAAAAGCTGAGGTTGACCTCATTCAAGCAACAGATAATGGGGGAAGAAGCTAACAGGGAAAATTGAATAGTTATAACTGATTGTTGTACATGTGTCATGAGAAGACGCATATTATTATTTTCTATATTATTTATTTAAAGGTAAAAGATTATTTTAAAAATGCTAAATAAATTAATAATAATCTTTCTCTTTTAATGCCCCTTATAATCCTACTTATAAGTAACTCACTGAACCGATTTCATTGTACATGCAAATAATGTATCTAACTAAAATTAGGAATCATCTGAGAATGTTATTAAAAAAGAGAGGAAGAGTGCATTTGATGAAACCAAAGGTAAACATCCAAGCTCAGTAAAGATGAGTTGATAAGGTCATATCAAGCTAGTGAAGTCTTGACGCCTCAGTATTGTATGCTTGTAATTAGTTTTTGTAGTGTTGTGTTTGTTTTAAATGTGGTGAATTATAGATATGTTTTTTGTTGACTTTGTACCGCGCTTCGAGCCTTTGGGGATGAAGCGTGTTTTTTAAATGAACTTTATTATTATTATTATTATATCAAGCTAGTGAAGTCTTGAAGGTTCAGGTAAGAAGAGTTTAAGGTCATATCCAGCTATTGAAGTCTTGACGGCTCAGGCAAGAAGAGTTTAAGGTCATATCCAGCTAGTGAAGTCTTGACGGCTCAGGCAAGAAGAGTTAAGGTCATATCAAGCTAGTGAAGTCTTGACAGCTCAGGCAAGAAGAGTTTAAGGTCATATCAAGCTAGTGAAGTCTTGACAGCTCAGGCAAGAAGAGTTTAAGGTCATATCCAGCTATTGAAGTCTTGACGGCTCAGGCAAGAAGAGTTTAAGGTCATATCAAGCTAGTGAAGTCTTGACGGCTCAGGCAAGAAGAGTTTAAGGTCATATCCAGCTATTGAAGTCTTGACAGCTCAGGCAAGAAGAGTTTAAGGTCATATCAAGCTAGTGAAGTCTTGACGGCTCAGGCAAGAAGAGTTTAAGGTCATATCAAGCTAGTGAAGTCTTGAGGGCTCAGGCAAGAAGAGTTTAAGGTCATATCAAGCTAGTGAAGTCTTGACGGCTCAAGCAAGAAGAGTTTAAGGTCATATCAAGCTAGTGAAGTCTTGACAGCTCAGGCAAGAAGAGTTTAAGGTCATATCAAGCTAGTGAAGTCTTGACGGCTCAGGCAAGAAGAGTTTAAGGTCATATCAAGCTAGTGAAGTCTTGACGGCTCAGGCAAGAAGAGTTTAAGGTCATATCAAGCTAGTGAAGTTTTGACGGCTCAGGCAAGAAGAGTTTAAGGTCATATCAAGCTAGTGAAGTCTTGACGGCTCAGGCAAGAAGAGTTTAAGGTCATATCCAGCTAGTGAAGTCTTGAAACAAGTGTAAGGTTTTTGATGTCCTGTCCTTGAGTTAACACAGGCAAGTTGCAGAATGAAAATAGAATAGACAATGTATTTCTTAAGGGGATGTATTGTAGCATGCGTAGAGTCTTGGACATACTTAATTTAGTACAAATTTGATTTAAAAATCCCATAAAATATGCCATATTTTAATTAAGTTATCTAGATTAATATGACATATTCATATTTATATCCATAACTAGATTATATCTCATATAGATTTATATATCATATCAATGTCTATGATCTAGATAATAAGATTTCAATATTGATTTTAATGTTTGCATTTTACTTATTTGGTTAACTACCATGAGCTGATGAGAGATCAATGTTTGTATCCTAGTAAATCGAGTCAAATATTTATATTATTCCGTTCCCGTTTTGCTTCGAGATTGTAATTTACTGACAGGATGTTTATATTCCAACCGCATGCAGAATGTTTTAATATATGAGCTGTTAATTAATTTTGATTTAATTTCCAAGCTAGTTACAAAATTTTGCCACTTGTTTACCGTGGCAACAAGTGACAGGGTTACTAAAGGCATATAAGTAATTGGAAGTGCAAATATTATTCAGTTTCTGTGTTCTTTCGTGCATTTTTCTTATTATTGGATATAATATTTGGAAACTACTAAATAAAAGACTTTAAATGATTTGGAAATTTAAAATTTATACGTCAGTTGGCACATTTATATATTTTTTTATTGTTTTTCTGTTTTAAATACTAATTTAACACTTAATAATTTCTAACAAAACTTAACTTCAAGAATGTTTTAAATACTAATTTAACACTTAATAATTTCTAACAAAACTTAACTTCAAGAATGTTTTAAGTTTATCTTAAAGACAATTCAATTACATACAAAATGGTCCATTAATCATTAGAATATGTTTATAATTAAGAAAATTACAGCTGAATTTGTACATGCACCTGAAATGAGAAAATGTGACCTAGATTTAATTCGGCCACAGCGGGTTTTTCAATCAGTTAAATATTCTCATAGGAAAGAAAGAAAGAACAAAAAAAGGAGGTGGTCCAAAAGTAGCAGGCAGAACATTTTGGTGAAGCCTCATATTCAAAGAGGCCTCAAATTTAATAGTGTAGTTTTTCATCAGCAAAATTCAAATTGTCTTAAAACAATGTAAGAATTCGACCGCTTTGCATATAGAGTTTTAGCTTAGTTGCATTCCATATGAAATTTGATACAACCAAGTTCTGATGGGAACCACATGTACCAGACTAAGATAGAGAGTAAAGAATAATTTTTCACAAAATGAGATTGAAACAGGGACAAAAATTCAAAACCCCACAGGACAAGGATGCTAAATGAGCATGATCCCAAAACATATCGTTAGCCTTTACATTCTATTATATATGTACACAAAGCATTGTATGGGAGAAAATAACTTCTAGTATTTTTTCATTTACTTACAATTTAAGGCTTCCTTTCCAAAATAGCTGAAAGGGCCAGCTTCAAAAACCATGTTTTCCTCTCCAGTAATGACTTCGGCTGTTCCTGATATTAACATAAATTTAAATCATGATTATAATGAAAATAATTTATTATAATTGCAACTAAAGTTTAGGCTTCATTGCTGGTTGTTATATTTTTCAAAGTACGATTTTTAACCCATTGTCTGTTGTAATGCCTTGTAATGTTGTACTGGATGAGGAGGCCACATAATACTGGCAGAGGGGGCCACATAATACTGGCTGAGGGGGGCCACATAATACTGGCTGAGGGGGCCAGATCATAATGGCTGAGGGGGGCCACATAATACTGGCAGAGGGGGGCACATAATACTGGCAGAGGGGGGACACATAATACTGGTATTAAAATCTGTCTTATCATTACATTGTATTAAAATCTGTCTTATCATTACATTGTATTAAAATCTGTCTTATCATTACATTGTATTAAAATCTGTCTTATCATTACATTGTATTAAAATCTGTCTTTATCATTACATTGTATTAAAATATGTCTTATCATTACATTGTATTAAAATCTGTCTTATCATTACATTGTACTAAAATCTGTCTTATCATTACATTGTATTCAAATCTGTCTTATCATTACATTGTATTAAAATCTGTCTTATCATTACATTGTATTCAAATCTGTCTTATCATTACATTGTATTAAAATCTGTCTTATCATTACATTGTATTCAAATCTGTCTTATCATTACATTGTATTCAAATCTGTCTTATCATTACATTGTATTAAAATCTGTCTTATCATTACATTGTATTAAAATCTGTTTTTATCATTACATTGTATTAAAATCTGTTTTTATCATTACATTGTATTAAAATCTGTTTTTATCATTACATTGTATTAAAGTCTGTCTTATCATTACATTGT